GAATGGGATTTTTTTTCAGCTAACCACCTATAGTCATCTACCTTTTTCAGTATCATGCCTACTTTTTTTTCAAGTAATTCAGCGACTTCAACATGATTGTTCAACGAAGCAAGATGTTTTTTTTAATAGCCATCRTCTTTCTTCTCATTCACGATCCAAGGTCGAGGGAGTTTTTTTTGTAGAATTCTCATCGCRCTATACATGATAAATAACCCTTGAATAATTTTTTTTTCAACACAGGAATCCCGTCCAAAGTACTACATACCTTGGATTGCCACGTAGAGCAGCGTGATGTAACGCATTAAAMCCATTATTRTTAGTAATACTAACATTTTTTTTTGCCTCTAGAAGGGCAGTCACCATGTCATCTCGCTTTTTAGATATCGCATCGTGTAATGGTGTATCACCTTCGGAGTCCTGGGAAAGACAACAAATCACGCTTTTTTTTTACTAAGTAAGTTTCAATGCACGTTTTCCATTTCAATTGTAAATTCTTTTTTTTCAGGATGAAAAAAATAGTTTTTTTTTGCTTATTTCATAAGTATACATTTTTTTTACCAGTAAAATGGGTAATATAATGGCGCAAAACCTGCACTATAACATTGACAATACCACCATACCTGTAGACTAGGGTGCGCATTAAGCTTTATCAACACTTTTTTTTCCCCGATATGGCCTTTATTAACACCAACATGTAACGGTGATTGACGKCGCTTGTTTCTAGCGTTCATGTCGGCTCCAGCTCGWACAAGCTGCTCGACTACTTTTTTTTCGTCACCGAAAGCTGCGTGGTGGATCGCACGGTCTCCATCCTTATCTTTTTTTTAAATTAAAGTAGATGTTCAAAACTAGACTCTTAATTCTACTCCCGTTTTTTTTTCTTTGCCTGTGCTGACTGTGAGGGACTGAGATAGTCTGCTCATTCTTTTTTTTTCATTAACACATGGGATTAAGACTCTTGTGCAGATATCTCCTTCTAATTTTTTTTGAATGATGCACCCATTTTCCTTTGTAAAGTATATTGTGCCTTGAACAATTTTCGTAGACGTGGGGAACAGACCAACAGGACCAATAGTTTTTGCACATTATTTTTTTTTTCAATAGGCAACGAGGAATATTCGAAATATGTCAGTTTTATAGACTTTTTTTTTAAGATAAGGTTTTATGTTTATACGGTCAGTTAACCACTTATAGAATTTTTTTTTCAGTGATTTTACTAAAAATTTCAAAAAGGAAAGCCCGAACGGAAATTTTTTTTAAATACGAAAAGCATTCTGATTTGGTAGCGAACGCGCGAAACCCAGTTTTTTTTTTGAGCTATAAAGTATCGATTTCAAAGACTTCTAGTTAACCTCTTTTTCCACATCAGCTTTATGTCTGATCAACACTCTTACGACATCCTCGTGACCATTTTGACTGGCTGCTTGTAGAGCTGTATGACCAGCAAAAGCACCATTGACCTACCATTTTTTTTAAACGTATCAAACATACCGTCCACTCATATATATGGACAAGTTAGCTTTTTTTTTCAACAAGCCTAGGGGATGATAATAAAATATTGTGATTTTAGCACAAAAGGGGCGAAAGATTGATATTCCCATACAATACGGACACTCGTAGTGTCCTTGTTTTTTTTCCCTTTTCAGGCTTCCTGCCCCTTTGCCAGACAAAAGGGAAGGCTGTTTTTTTTACTAGGGCAATCGCACAAGTACACATAAAATATATCTTTCACCTCTTTTTTTTTGAGGGTTATAGAATACACTTACATCAACTTCGCCTTTGTTGATAATTTTTTTTTAAGCCTGAGAGTCACCGTTAGCAGCTGCCTTAACCAGTTCCTCGACAACATCACCAGACACATGGGTTTCAAACAGTTTCTTGAGTAAAACGGAAAGGCGTTTTTTTTTAACAAATCATTGTTAGTTACATGCAACTATAATCACCTAGTGAGATTTTTTTTTCAAATAAAACATATTAAAAGCAGACATATCCAATGATGTATTTATTTTTTTTTAATGAAGATCATCCTTTCTTGAGGTAGCGTAAAATACTAGCAGCCAATTTCCGAACAACGCAGATGCGCGCACGAAAGAAAGAGATATTTTTCGGCAAAATTTTTTTTGAGACAACTCTTGAAAATACTTCACCTTCGTACAAGCGACTGATATTTTTTTTTATTTTTTTTTTTGTGAGCTGCCGCACCTCAGGGAAATCGCCAATTTTTTTTTTTAAGTAATATAACAAGAGAATAACTAMGACCTAAAACGACAACATATTTTTTTTTTGAGCTGTAGATTAGGAGACAAATGTAACCAACCTCCTGTAGCTTCTTTTTTTTCCGATGAATCACCGGTTGATGCTACTTTAGTTGCACATAAAGGATTTTTTTTTTATGATGTACCACAGATCTCAACCTATAACATGCAGACCACAATCAATTTTTTTTTAAAAACGAACATACAATGTAGCTGCTGAAAATCAGGTGTATAAAATTTTTTTTATTCAACAACTTGAATTGCTACAGCTTGATGAATGTTGGAAATGGATTCTTATAGCGTCCAAAAACTTAAAATTCTGCAACATTTTGCACTATTTAGTACTTTTTTTTCTGGAGAAACAATTTACAAAACAATAGAATTAGCATAATTTAGCAATTTTTTTTACTGATGCAAACTTTCAGCGTTTTTATTCTTAACTAATATTAAAATTTTTTTTTGCCACTTTACGTGCAAACAATGAAGAAGTGCAAGACATCTTCACGCTTTTTTTTAGCAATCTTCTATTATTTCTRGGAGCAAGGAATTACTCTGTGTATATTTTTTTTCAACTCTCGCTCTCCCCTACAGGGGAAAATTCCTCCCAAAATTTTCCCTGTGGGGTGGAGGGGTGGGAACGAATGTACAAGCTACAAGGAATGAGCAAAATTTTTTTTCCCTGGGATACTGTTAATTAACAGAGATAAATGGAGTTAAACATTGTTTTTTTTAGACAGCTTCATACAATGCATGTTACCTTTAGATCATTGTCATGGTTTTTTTTTTGGACTCTTCCTATTTTACCAAGTGTCTAAATCAAAGAAAAGACATTCTATTATAATCACATTGTTACAAATACATTGTAACAACAGCTTCACAAAAATGCTTCTCATCATTCTTGTCACTTAAAAACCTTATTCGGTCATTCATAATAATAGCTTTTTTTTCCAGCTTTTGACATTTTGGTTGAATGGTCATGCACAAAAGAACTGATTTTTTTTTTTCGAGGAAACATAAACTGAAACTTTCTTTCAGCAAAATATCAAATTTTTTTTTAGAAGCACTCCTAAATGAAATCCCAACATTTATTGATTTATAACATTTTTTTTACAGGAATCATAGCTTCTGCCCATTCGCCATGACCACGCTGCCATGTTTTTTTTCTCTCAATATCACTACTGACTTGAACCAGATCTCCAACAGCAAAGGGAGATGTYGATGAAGCTGAGGTGGTTGATGACGAGGTAGTTGCTACCAGAAGTGATGAATCAATGGAGTTTGTACTTGTGTCTGAAGAAACTGTTGCACTAACTTTGGTTTTTTTTCCAGGGTTGAATGTCCACCTGGAGAYATTAGACATACACATTCAGTTTTTTTTTAGGTGGGGTAAAAATTCCCTATCCCTCCCTGTCCTGCTGAGAAAAATTTTTTTTCTTTCATCCTGCAGGGGATAGCTTCTAAGAATGATTGTACAAGGCTTTTTTTTTGTTCAACACTGCATGCTTGAAGGTTTAAAATCTACTGAACATAATTTTTTTTTTGGTTATAACACTTAATCTAAAAGAAATGTCATTTTTGTGTAGGAAACAGTAGAAAAACAAAGGTACAAACAGACCCTTCAGGATAATAAGCTTCAATTTTTTTTTTGARAAAAWCTGCCTTAAAGACTTTGATCTAATTGATCTACATAAATCTTGTTTTTGAATTATACCTGTTACCAGTTGGATAGAGCACAACAATGTCATGATCTTCATCAATACCAACAACTGTGCCAGCAGTGGTCAATGTCTGAAAAATTATTAGGCAACAATGGTTTTTAAGGCAATTTATGATGTTTGAAGTGAAACTTTAATTGTTTTTTTTGTTACTTAATTTATATACTGTTTCCTTTTCGTTTATTTATGTATAATTTTTTTTTATTTCTAGTTTACCTCATACATGCCGTCTGTCCATCCACCATGACCATGCTGTAAAGACTGAACAATCTCAAGGTCAAGGTCAACCGTTACCTGGTCACCTATTTGAAGTCCTTGGGCAGTGGTTTGACTWCCAGGACGGTTGTCACCTAATGTTTTTTTTCCATAATGTAAGAATATCATTACAATATTGGTTACAAACATGCTTCTTTTTTTTTATAAAATAAAGATTGTGTTTCTTCTGAGTTTTTTTTTTATCATTATTTTTTTTTTCGGCATAAGCGGCGTACAAAGAAATTCTAAACATCCTTCAAATCTTTTTTTTATCAATTATAACAATAATCAAAGATCATTGTCTGAAGTGTAAAACTTTTTTTTTAAAGGCAGGTGGTCCCTGTAAAATGAGCCTCCTTTACCATCACTGATTTTTTTTAGATCAGACTACAGGTCGGAATGAAACATTGATAAGATAAATGACTTTTTTTTTGTTACAAATAATGTTGACTAAAACACTGTTAATAAGAACATAAGAGTTTTTTTTCCTGTC